ATCAGGAAGGGTTGTGTATAAGCATACTCCCACACTACAACAGTTGACACATGCAACAGATAGTCATCGAGTCATTGTGCTGTATTTCTGATTTGTAATAGGAGCACTGGTGTTAAGCAAATCCCATTTCATGCATAGCCCAGTTAATGGGACACATAATTCCTGAGTCATTGGCTCAAACTCCGCATTGTCCAACGATTCTTCATTTAATATTTTTGAAATATTTTTTATTCAAAACACTAAATAACTGTAGTGAATAAAGGTCCTAATCACAGGTACAAAAATTATACAGAGCTACAGGGGCTTCCTAGGAGAGCTCAACTACTGAATAATACATTCATTTGTAGAATATAGTTAATGTTTATAAATAATGCAAAATGGAGTAAGTCCATACATTTGATGCTTGTTAAAGTCCTTTGATACCAGTTGCAAAATGTCCTATTAAACAAGCAAAACTTTGATGTAATTCTTGAGAACTTTAATACCAATGACTAGCAGATGATGAGAACATTCTGGGGAACTGGAGAGCTGAAAAACAGCACAGGAACCACTGACAGCATAAGAAGAGAGATCCCAACAGCACAGCCCACATTCGGAAGAAAAATCAAGACGTGGAAGCATTTTTTCTTATCAAAGCAAGGGAATTCTAATTGCGGTTTGGAGAACATTATTGAAGTAATAAGAATACAGGCACAACTGGGAGGCATCGATTAAAATGTAATGAAGAAACGAATGAATTAGAACACAGTAAGGATGGCAAGGAAGGTGATGTGTTGCAGCTGTAGCATGTAGGAAAAGGGATCTTCTGATTTGGACTGTGGACAGGCACAGGAGGGTGTGACTGCAAATGAGGCAGGTTGGTGGATTAGGAAGGTAAAAATGGGCAATTCTCAGTCTTTCCAATTGTCTAACATGTTCAAGGTGCTTGTCAGCTCCTGTGGAAGAGTGCGGCCTGAAATGTGGACAAGGGAACTGACCATAGCAGCATTGCACACAGAACCATTCAACCGAGGAGAATAAATAGGAATGAAACAGTAGTAGGTGACAGTACAATGAGGGGAACAGACATAGATTTTGCAACTGAGAGCATGAGTCCAGAAAGCTGTGTTGCCTGCCTATGGCCAGGATTAGGACATCCGTTTAGGATTAGAGGGAAATTTGCAGTGGGAGGGGAATTACCCAGATGCTCTGGTCAACATAGATACCAATGATATATACAGGGCTAGAAATGCAGTTCCGTTAGGGATTATGAGCAGTTAGGGGTTAAATTATAAAGCAGAACCACACAGGAAATAATAATCTGAAATACTACCTGAGCCATGAATAAACTGGCATGCGGTATAAAGAAGATTGGAAAGTTAAATGCAACATTTTATCTTAGAGATCTGGGTGTCCTGGTATATAAATTATAAAATGTCAGTATGCAGGTACAGCAAATGATTAGGAAGACACTTGGAATGTTGACATTTGTTGTAAGGGAATCAAAAAATAGATGCTACAGTTGTACAGGCCTTTAGCGAGACAGCATCTGGACTATTATGTATAGTTCTGGTCTCCATATTTAAGAACAGCTATAAGTGCATTTGAAGCTGTCCCGAGAAGTTTTGATTGATTTCTAGAATAAAGGAATTACATTATGAGCAAAGACTGAATAAGTGTGGTCTGTGTCCATTAGAGTTCAGAAGAATGTGAGGTGATTTTATTGCAACATGTAAGACCCTGACAGAAGAAAGGAAGGTTTAAACTGGGCATTTGCAGCTCTTTCATTCTAACCTCAGTGTGGACAAATTATAGGAAAAAATCTCTGAAAGACAGAATAAGTCACTATTTCGAAACCAAGGACGGTCAACATAGACTTATTAAGGGAAGGTCGTACCTGACTAACTTGATTGAATTTCATGTGGAGTTAACAAGGTGGGCTGATGAGGTAGGGTGTTGTGTTTTATGCACTCTACCAGGTGTTAACAAGGCTTTAGACAAAGTCCAACTCAGCAGATGGGTCAGTAAAGTAAGAGTGCTTGGGATCCAAGAAAAGTGACAAGTTGGATCCAAAGCTTGCTCTGTGTGAGGCAGCATAGGGTTATACTCAACGTGCGTTTTGCACCTCGAGGGCGGTATCCTTAGATTCTACAGGTGTCAGTGTTAGGTCCCTTGCTTTTCAAAGACTGCAATTTAGGGGCAGTGATTAAGAAACTTTCAGAAGGACAGAAATTGGTTGAGTGGCTGATAGTGAGGAAGAAAGTTGCAGACTTTGGGCAGTTATCAACGGACTGGTCAGATGGGCAGAAATGTAGCAAAAGAAAGTCAATCTGGAGAACGATGAGGTAATGCATTTATGGAGTGCAACCAAGGAAATACATAGTAAATGATAGAAAACTGAGAAGTACATTGGAGCAGAGGGACCTTGGAGTGGCTGTTCACAGATTCCAGAAGGCTGCAAGACAAGTACAGTTAACAATGCTGACAGTGAGGTGCTCCGTTACACAGTGGTAGTGTCCCTCCCTCTGCACCAGGAGATCTGGGTTCAAGTTCTACCTGGTCCCCCGAGATGAGTGACAGAAGTTTGAACAAGTTGATTAGAAAATTTTTAAAAAGTGCACAGGGGGTACATTCCTTTCTTAGCTGGAGCACAGAATATAGGAGCAGAGACTTTCTACTAGAATTGTATAAAACACTAGATAAACCTCAGTTTGAGTTCTGAACACAGTTCTGATCATCATATTACAAGAAGGATGTGTTTAGTGATCGTTCTGAAAAGGGTAGAGAGAAGATTTATAAGAATGCTGCCTGCAATAGAAAGTTTTTAGCCTTGTGGAAGGATTGGATAAGCTTGAGTTGTTTTGTTTGGGTCAGTGGATGAGTCATTTGATATATTAAATAGAAAGGATCGGCAGACCCTATTTCCCTCAGGTAAGAGGTCAATAACCAGAGAACGTAGATTGAAAGTAAATGATAGAGGATTAGCGAGGAGTTGATGAATATGTTTCTTCACCCAGAATGTAGTGGGAATCTGGAACTCACTGCCTGAAAGGGTGTAGTGTCAGAAACCCTCATCCCATTTAAAACATGGAACAAAAATTTGAGATTGCAGTTAGAGTGGATCACTCTGTGCTGTTAGCATCATGTCAACAAGTTGAATGGCCTCCTGTGCGGTAGAATTTCTATGAGGGTTCCTCAACCTGATTATGGTTAAAGATTCACATTGTTGTTTGTCCTGTTTGAATATGTCACAGATCCCTTACAGAAGATGATGTATTAGAAAAGGTGTTGGATTTGAGGAAGTTTCCACTAATAAGGCCACAAAATGCTTATGACCAACGGTCAGCCAGGTGAATGGCAAGTGTTGCTCCTTAACCAGCAGCCACAAGATCCAGGCCATTCTATACATTATACCAGTCTCTCTCCACACATCACATGAACATACGAAAGTGACGGAAAGGGGAAAGGATCAACTTGTCCGTCTCCCTTTCCTGTGATACTGTGAAGCCCTATACATCATACATTCATTGCACCGAACAATGTAATTTTCATGGGAAGGTGAAAACCTGATTAAAAAGAAACCATGCCACTTAAAGAAAATATTCTTTTCTAGCTTTGCAAGATCAAAATTACTGTAAGAGGACACACAGACTCTGATTTCATTCCCAGGATCTTGTTTATGATGATCTCCATCCCAGTCAGATTCAGGTCCATAAGGGATCAAACCACACTGCTATTTTTCAGCTGAAGCCTGAGGCACAGAGAGAGATTGGGTTGACAGCTGATTACAGACATGCAGACAGAAGAGAAAGTATGTGCTGTCAGTTTGAGATGAAAGTTTTGTCTGTCAATTTGATCCGGTCTTCTCTCAACTACAGTATAATGTAAATGTTCAGTGATTGATGGGAATAATACAGGGATTCACCAGCTTTTGGTGAGGTGTTTTCTAAAAGCTAAGAAGGTGAGACATAACTAAATCTTTTCTAAACAGTTCTTAAAAGTGGAGTTCTGGGAATGGCTTGGGAGGAGCTATTAACTTCATCCATCTTGACTATGGGAATACCAAATGCCTTCGAGGTTCAGTCACTGACACCTGCCCATATCCAACAGCATAACTACAACTACTGGCCCTTGTATATAACTAGTTGAATAGATCATTATTATTAATGGCCAGCACACTGTTTTTGGCTTAACTATAGATTGGCCACATAGTCAGCAATGGTTCGATTTGTCATACTGTCGTCTTGGAGTGAGCTGCTGTTACACTCACCTGTAAACGATGCCATGGCTGTGCAGGAAAAACAGACCAACAGCAATCTCAGCTGCATAGAATCTAAAACAAAAACACAGACCAGTGTAAGCAATAAGCAAGGTAGACAATCCCAGATTGACAATCACAGGCAAGTCAGAGACTAGCTTTTAATGTGCTTTAATTTACAAGAAATGTAATTCCATCAAGTGGACTTTGCTGGCAAAGATGGCATTCATTACCCATCCATAATTATTTGTGGATGGGACAACATTTCACTAGTTCATGTCAAAGGTGATTAACAGTTAATCATGATGCTATGGAGCTGGGGTCCGAGAAAAAAGGCAGGCTTCCCTTTTGAAAAGGCATTAACGAGTAGTTCGTTTACATAATCATCTGACAGCTTTGCGGTCATTTTACCAATATCCCTTTTTACCAAATTTTATAAAATTGAATTCAAATTCATCTGGCATGGTCCAGTGGGTATAACTCTCATCTGAAAGTCAGAAGATCGTGGGTTCACCAATCCAGACACTTTACTGCAAAATCTCAGCTGGCATTTACGTGCCATGCTAATGGAGTACTGCATTGTAGGAGAAGCCATGATACAAATGGTATGTTAAACCAAAGCTTGTTTGCTTTTTAAGGTGAACTTAGAAGATCTCACAGCTGTACTTTAACATAGAGCAGGAAAACAGTCCCTGGTGCTCTGGCCAGTGTGCATTTCTCAATCAACACTATGAAGACCAAATTACCCGGCCATAACTTCAATTTAGGTTGAGAGATTTCACTGCACAATTTAGCAGTTGCACTCCTCTACATTACAATATTGACTACATTTAAAGTACTTAAGTCAGCATCAAGAGCTTTGAGATGTCCTAAAAAAAAGGGGCTATAGCAATGCAAGTCTGTTTTTCTGTCTTCTCAAACTATCATGATGAAATTTAAACTTGCGTTCATCAGATTATCAATCCAGGCCTTTTGTTTATGAGGGTTTGAATGGGTCCTATTGAACTGGAACATGGGCAGGTGGGAGAGGGAACCAAGAGCTGGAGAAGAGTAAAACATTAAGAACTGGGATCAAGACACAGCCCACAGGAGCAAACAGCAGAATGACATGCAGCTCACATACGGTACTGTGGATCTGCAGCTGCATCACAATTTGTGCTAGATTTATTTTTGGTCTACCACATTCAACACAGAAAGAAAGGAGCGATGATTTGGGCTTGTACACTACATCTTTCACAGCGTTTATGTCCTATAGGGCTTTCAGCTAAAGTGCTTTGTGGGATGATCACTGCTGTAACATAGCTGTTTTTTGCATTACAGATGTCATTAATCCTGAGTCCCATGAGCAGCAATATGATAATGACCAGATCATTTAGTGACATTGATTGAGGGATAAATGTTTGATGGAACACAAGAGAAGTCTCCTCTATTCTTCAGATAATATCACAGAAACTTTTATATTGCAGACTGGGCCTGGGTTTAACATCTCACAGAAAGGCTGGAGCTTCTGAGAGTGCAGTACTGACTACACTGATGTATCAGCCAGTACTGTGCACCCAAGACTCTTAGACTGAATCATGGCTGCGACTTCACCCTAGAACACTGACAGCTAGTTTGGTCAAACTAAACAGATTGTGGGATATCAGTCTGAGAACAGCCTTATTGAAGTGAAGAAGGAAGGGGAATCTGTGCTGAGACAGATACTTACACAGCATGGGGTTCTTTGAATCTGCCAACCTGCTGGATCTGGTACATGAGATCACCTCCATTAACATACTCCATGACAAAGTATAAACGCTCCTAAGAGAAGAATAAGGAGACAACAACAAAATAACTGTTTACATGGAAAACAAGCTTATCATCAGTTTATGCACAGATTTACAATCCAACGTACTCTGACCAGAATTTAGTGAACTCCCTTGTAGTGAGGGAGGGTTGAGTTTAATCTGGCAGGATGCTGGCAAATTAGGAGTCTGGCACCTTCTCCCCTCATCCTAAAATCCCTGGCAGGAAGCCCCATGGTTGGCCTCCCACCTATTGCCATTTGATACGTTTAAGCGGGCAGCAAATGCCCATTTAATATCTTCATTCCTCCACTGCTGGTGTTAAATTAGCAGCAGGCCAGTTCTTCCGAGAGCATAGGGCATGACAATCAAACCCCTGTGGACAGGTGAACTGCCTCCTGGGGATGTCCTTGTCCGAAAGCCCTCTGCATCTTATCAGGGGACCAATTATTAAGAAAAGGAGAAGCCACCTCTCTACTCTTGCTGCTGACAGCTTTGCTCCCTTCTATCTGTGACCCCTACCATGATCGTTGGGTGGGTGTTGTACTGCCCAGTGGTGCTGCTGTTCAATAGAGAGGCCAGCCTCTGATTGGTCATCAGTGCTCAGTGGATCTTGAGGGAAATTCCTGCGGTATCCATTAAATACTGTCCTTCAACATGCAATTTCTAGCCTCAGTTTGAACTCTCCTTTTCTACATCTGTTCTTAATAACACTCTGAATCAATGAATGAGGTGTGGTACAGGAATTAGGCTGGTAAGTCAGTCACAATCCATCGTACAAATTACACTGAACCTGCAGCGAAGACAGGTCATTTGACCCACCACCAATACAGCCTTTATGGTCCACTCAAGTCTCTGCACATCCTTCCTCAGCTAACTGTATCAGGATAACCCTCTGTTTCCCGGTCTCACTCACCTTTTCTAGCCTCACCTTAAATTCATCCAAACTGTTTGCTTCTCTGTTCTCTGTGCTAGAGTTTCGTGTTTCTTATCACTCTCTGGGTAAAGATGTTTTGTTTGAATTCCAAGCTAGTTCAATTGGTGACGTTCTTATATTGACACCTTTAGCTTTTCTCTTCTTCCTCTTCTCTCAAATGTCAACTGAATTAAAAACCCTTTATAATTTTAAATTTTTCTGTCTGGTTGTCTCTCAGCCTGTTTCCCTTTCCTCACACATACCATCCCACTGTTCTGATACTATCTTTCTGAATTTATTTGCACCCTCTCCAGTGTCTCTGTATCATTTTCAATATATGAACAGAAATGTACATTGTGTGGTCTGAGCGATACTTGATCTGAGTTTAGCATAACTTCTCTACTTTGCATTTCTATCCATCTAGAAATAAAACTGGGTGTTTGATGTGCTTTTCCCTTTAATGGTATAGACGCTCCTAATGGAAGGTTATTAAACAGTGCTGGTACTTACAGTAATTTATGTTTTTGTACTCCAAGATCGCGAACTCATCTACCCTATTTCTGCTCCCACCCCCTGCTTCCTTGTCTCTATTTCGACTAAACTGATGACTATCAAATTCCTTTCCTGGTCCCAATCAGAATTCCCTCACTGTTGTGTGCAATCCTTCTGTACCTGGAGACTGCCTACTGCCACCATATCTTCTTCCCAACTGAACAGGTCCTATCCACCGGTTCTGAGGAGTGATCCTGGTGCCCTGACAAGTAGCTATCCCTCAACCAACATCACAAACAAACATTGGTGAATTTTGGATGCTGATGGAACCAAACAGAAACAGCAGTGCTCCAGTGAGGCTACCCATTAAAATCAGCTGGCTTCCCTGTCAGACCAGGCCAACCTGGGGGCTAGACAAGTCAGGTCTGAAAAGGCCCAGAAAAGGAGGATGTTTCATCCTAGAAAGGCATTATATACAACAGGCAATTTGGCCCAGCATGCCAGTGTCAATCTTTGATAGAACTATTAAGTTGGTCTCATTGTCCTGCTCTTTTCCCTTAGCCTTGTGATTTTGTTTCTTTCCAAGTATATAAACGCGTTCACTACCCTTTAAAGCAACACATTCCAAATCATGAAAATGGTCTGTTGTAAAAAAATGCAAATTCTCACCTTGCCTTTGATTCTTTTGTCAATCACTTTAAATTTATGTCCCCTGATTATATTTTGTTTTCTTTGCGGGCCAAGAAGAGGATAAAGGTCTAGAGCTAAATTTCTTCTGAAGGATGTAAATATGAAGAGTACTCTTGTCCCAAGATTAGAATTAATATACAATTAAAGTTTTTAATCAATTCAAAACAAGGTTCAGTCCCAGTCCGCATGTCCTGCTGTGTAAGAAAATACTGCAATTCTGGGTATCTGCCAACAGAGGATCTCACGTTGACCTCCCAGATAACATAAAGATTTCCCTGTTGGTGGGAACCCGGTGCTGCAGAGTTTAAATTTCCTGTGTAGAATCCTGGATTCTGGGTATCATCCCCTATTCTCCCTTCAAGGAAGTTAGGAATTTCATTCATAGGGGATTTTGACAAGTATTTACCATTTTAATCTGTAACTAACAACAAGTAAATGCTTAATTTACATGTCTGGTACTCTTCAGGTCTGATTATCCATGTTCTCTCTTCCTTTTATGGATGTGCCATTCTTCAATGTGTATGGCTTCTGAGTAAATATTAGCAAATGATTCAATCACAACAGACAGAGTTGAGGTTTCCCCATGTTTTACTAAATAACAATCAGAAAGATCGAGTAACCTTCTCATTAATCAGGGAAGCCGAGGCAAAATACAGCACTTCCTTCTGCTCAGATCAGCTAATGTCTCATTGGCCAGGCATCAAACTCAAGGTCTTTTGATCTCTCTGACTTAATCAGGCTTACTAACCTAATAAGGCCTTAAGTACACCCACCCTAACACCCATGATTAGGGCAGGGGGTTGGGATGGGAGATACGATTTTCATAAATCCAATCCCAGAAAGAAAAAAAACTTATGAATGACACATAATGGTCCTACTCATCTTTTATACTTCAAAATGGAGTCCCAGCATGCCCAGAATACTCATTTCTAAATATTCCATTTTTGTTTTACTGATTTTTTTCCTCTGGGATGTAAAGTTCTCTCATGGTAGCCCATCCTTCAACACACAGGATGTGGGACAGCAACAAAATATACTTCTGCTTCAAATGTTTTGTCATTATGTAGTTTGCAGAATCACAATCATCCAATCCTATCTTGCTTTTGTATAACAAAATAAGACAATAAGGTGCAGACTGAATAAAATTGTTTCCAGTGATTGCACAAAATCAGAACAATGCAGATGTTTGATCTGAAAACTCCATTTTACACAAAATGGAATCTGTGTTACATAGCTTCATGTGGAGAACTGGATACACTCTATTGTTCTGGTGAGACATGCACACCCATTGAAACACGTTGCAACAGGTCAGGGATCATGGAAGATGGATTGGTTAATTACCCATGCTGCAGCCACTGAAGAGATGGGAATTGTTCAAGGTCATTTTGTAGCTGATTTAAGCGGATTAATTTGGTGCTGGTTAGAGGCAGTTCTGATGTAAATGAGTTGTGTTTCCATTTAATGAAATGCATGCGAGTATAATGTTAGCAATAACTAATGACAACAATTATGTGACTCACTGCAACTGATGCTATTGTAACGGTGCCTTTGAAATGAATTGTGAACTCACATTTTACCGGTGTATGGTTTATATCAGTTTGAGGTTTTAGCCAGTGCTGAGTTCTCTCTTTCTCAGAAGCACATTACAGGGCTTTACCTGAGCCATGTGGCTCTAGGGAGCCATGTGATGGTTCACTTGTCTCTTTTACCGCTAGCTGTCAGTCTTAAAATGAATGCTGCCGATAAATATTGAATGTGTTCATATGACTCTGCAAGTTGGTTTATCACTAAGTAGTGTTTCCCATAATGGTACAAGTTCACTCCACCTCAAACTGCTTTCTCCTTTAATGTTGATAGTTTGGCTGATGTAACTGAAGATGTGATGTACCAAACATTAAAAGCAGAAATTAACACAGAGTTGCTTTCCCTTCAATGTCTGAAAAAAAGCAGATAAAAATTGGCAAAAAGAATGGGGAATATGAGGTGTTGGAGGCCATATTAAAAGGAAAGGGAAATGGTAGCCCATCTCCTGTATGAGAGCTATGTCACCATAGAGAAACTTTGATTTGTAACAGCCAGCAATCAACTCCACTCTGATATTTGTGTGGGGAATGGAGATTAGGAATGTGGTCAGGATCATGCACAAACTCTGAAGGGTTTGAAGTATCCATACCCATCTGGGGTTTATTCACAAGGCTCCAACAAACCCTTTGAGATTTGTGACATGGGGCAAGAAGGATTGGTTCCTGAACTCTCAGGAGAAACCTGGTCTTAATTGGTACCATTCCAGGATATGTGACTATGTCTTTGAAAACAACTTGTTTATTTCCCTTGCTATCTGTGAATCTGAGCAATGTCCCCTCTAAGACATGCATGCGTGTGGCTGTGCATCACACATTGCAATACCCAGGCCACTTACAACATTGTCAGAAATACTTACAGCATCAATTATAACTTTGAAAATGTAAACTTCCAATGGGCAAGAGAGAACAGAAGTTTGTAGCCCACCCAATGTAAAGAAAATTCTGGAAGGAACATTGGATCCAAAGCTCTGATGACACATTGTAGAGGAACAAGCTTTATTTGCAACTTAATGGAAGCAGGAATGCCACCACAATGTCTTACCATTGTCTGGAAGCAGGAGTGGAGCTGAGTTAGGAATTGGGGCTTTCCAGGAGCAGCTAGGACTCTCTTCTCCACCATGGTGCACTCCACATCATCATCCTGTATCACCACATCCTTCTTCAGGATTTTGATGGCATACAGTTCATCAGTGCCCTTCCTTTCAGCCAGCATCACCTGCAATGCAGAGAGAGGACAAGTGCACCATGACTCTGTGTTGGACACTGCTGGCCAGCACCACCTTTATAATTAAACAACACATCTAACGTTGCCAATTCACATCCTCCCTTTACCTGATCCCACAGTCACCTTCAGCTCACTTCTGGTACTTACTCACTGACCATGTTTCACAGTGAAGCTAAGCACTAGGTCTCCTCAGCATTACAGACATATTACAGACAAGCTTGAATTTGTCTTCATTTAACATCTACCCATCAAAAAAACTTTCTAGTTTAGGTTGTTAGATTGTAACCAGAAGCAGGAATACTAAGTGATTTTTTTTAAATGCAGCAATACGGAGATCAGTTGTAGCATCTGTACTGCTGTTCCATCTCTCACTGAGGTTAACACAGCACTGACTAAAGATCGATCCTGAGGCTTGCTGGTTGTGCTATAACAGGCTGTACCTTTGTTCACTGAGGCACTAAGGTGAATTACATGGACTGAGTGTTAATGAGAGCGCCACAAAGATAATGCTTCAGTGGGAGGTGACAGCACAGAGGACCTTATTGAGAAGGATGTGGTAGATTGGAGATTGCGGGCTATGTTATCATCAGTGTGTAGAACTGAATGTACACACAGAAGGTTTAAAGGGTAGCTTGATTAAAGAATAGAGGTTGTTTGGCTGGCTGGATTACTGGTTTTGGAAAACAGAAATGTAAACTCTTCCCTGGAATACTGTGAATTGTTTGCACCAATTCTGCAGTGTTTCCCCATATCTACTACTGAGCTTACAGTAGGGGGGAATTGTCTTCTTGACTGAGAACATATCTAAAACACATTTCCATTTGGATCTTTAACCTTTCCACTGGAACTGGATAGCTGAACATGGATCCTACTAAATACAAGCAACATACCACACGACAATGCCCTAATGTACCATCATACAATATACAACAAAACAGGAAATAACCTTACACCAAATACACAGCAACATGACATGCAACATAAAATAACCTGGTGACTCAGAACCAAATACAATACAATAAAGCAGCAAGCCAATACTGTAAAACAACACATTATATAATAAAATGCACCCAAAAAAGTTTTACATACAAAAAGTCGACCACATGCTATAGTGGTACAACATAAACACATTAACTAAAACGATACAAAGAACACAACAAGATAACTAGGACACAGTAGAATATATTAAAACCTTGGACAACACCATGTTATCAATACTGCTCCTCAGAACCTGGACCATTTATCGCACCTACTCACCTCTCAAACCCTAGGACACCCTCTTTTCTGAGACTCTTTACAATTCTCTTCCAGAAAAGGCAGTGGAAGCAGAATCTTTCAAGGTTTCTGAGGCAGAGATTGATAGATTCTTGGTAAGCAAGGGGGTGAAAAGTCATTAGATAGGGGTTTGTGGGATTGCGGATTTGTGGTTAGTCAGATCAGCCGTGATCTGATCACAGTCTAAGGATACCAGGTAGGCCATTTAGGGCTGGGATGAGGAGAAAGTTCTTCACCCAGAGAATGGTGAGCCCTTGAAATCCTCTGCCAAAAAAAGTGGTTGAAGGCAAAACTTTGAAGTTTTCAAAAAGGAGTTAGATATAGTTCTTACTGCTAAAGGGATCAGAAGAGGAGAAAATGGAAACAAGGTACTGAATTGGATGATCAGCCATAACCAGACTGAATGGTGGAGCAGGCTTGAAGAGCCAAATGGCCTACTCCTGCTCTTAATTTCTATGTTTCTGTGATCTTACTAAATGACAGGTCAGGCCTGGGGGACCTTGTTCATATGTTCCCTATAGGTCTTCAATGAAACAGATGGACTTTTACAACAATCCTGTAGTTCTACGGCCACTCTTATGGATATTAGCTGTTTGTTCCAAATTTATTTAACGAACTGAGTTCAAAATTCCCTAGCTGCTGTGGTGAATTCTGGATCATCAGTTGTGGCCTCTGGATCACCAGTCCACAAACATAATCACTGCATCTCTGTATCCACCCCTGTTCAACGGATCAACATAAAGGGGAAGTGTTTGAATAGAGGTTCAGGAGATTGCCTCACAGTATGTGTTCAGACTGGTTTAGGATTCTGCTTTGGGTAGCTACACTGAAGCCACACCCAAATTGCACAATGCAATTTATTCTCTGGCTGTGAACAAGACAATAAACTCTGTCCAGTTTTTGATTGAAAAAAAATTCTGCTACTAATCCTGAAATCAAACAATCTGGATCAGACTAACAGGATGTTTGTACTGTTTTGTTACAGGATAACAGCAGGCTGCTTCAAGTGAGAAGCTGGAAGACATGAAAATATATTCCTATCTGGATCAGTGTTAATAGAATTTTAGAATGGAGAATCCTCAAACTCCTCCAGGGAACAGGACTGATTACAAACCACCAATTCTGAGCCATCTGCTTTAAACAACTGCAGTGGATGTGCATGATATACCACAGGCTCAACTCTTGCTCATTCAATTTTGATTTATAGCTTCAGGATGTGGTCAGAGTGTTATGAATGAAATGACAGATTCCAGCATCTGATTTAGCAGACCTTTCTCTTCATCACAGCTGATACATCAGACAGACTCAGTGAAACACCCTGCAGTGCAATAAAAGTAGGCGACGCTCTGTTACGAAAGCCAGAGAATGCACAAGATTGTTTTCAATTGTGTTGCTGACTCTCAGCAACTTATTTGCTCAATCAATGTTACATCTACCCAGTGGTAGAAGGAGAACTGCATGGATCATGGCTGTTCTTCTCCATTTCAGAATATCTGTCTCCCATATCGGAGGTCAGTCATGTTTCAGTGGATAGCACTCTCACCTGAGCCTGAAGGTTGCATGGGCAGATCCAGCAATACAGTGGGTACCACCTTTTGGCTGAGACTTGAAACTAATGCCCTGTCTTCCTTTCAGATAGGTGTAAAGGATTCCATGGCCTTATTCTGAAGAACAGCAGTGAGTGCTCCCAATCTCTGGCCAAACATTTATCATGCGACCAGCATCTCTAAGCGATTACTCGCACTGCTGCATGTTGGGAATTGTTTCTCTGCTTGGAATGCGTCGAGCAGTTTGTGTTAGCATATACTGGACAGGCCTTTCCTTTCACATACAACTGCACAGACTGAACCGGTGCGGCAGCGCATTTCTTACTTTTCCAAAGCTGCCCTTCCCCAGCACCATCAAGAAGTTGAAGTCCGTCAGCTTCATCCGATCACGATTGCCATTGTTGTCAATTTTGGACCACGAGCTGGATCTCTTCTCGTCGGCTGCTTTAGAGCCCGGCCCAATTCTGGCTCTCTGCAAATAAAACAGAATCGGAAACTGTGGGAGCTGTTCCATCAGGATCTGAAGCAGGAGGAGCTACGACGGATTCCCAAGGGTAGAGGCTGCTGGGTGTGCAGACAGAATGTTTTGAGGGGCAATGATGGACGTACAGGGATGGACTGCCAGGTTCGAATGATAAATGATAGAGGCTGCAACAAAGCCTCCAAGAGTGGCCACTGCTAGAGGCAGCGCTCAACCAATACCAGGGAAGGTGTGTACTGCTACACCAGTGGCAGGTGCGAGCAGACTCCCAAGAATAGGATGCACTGCGGGAAATGGCCAAGGGTGGAGCATTAGGGGTGGGTTTGTGGCATTGTTTGAGATGGTTTTGTATTGGTGCTTGAGATGCAAGGCTTGGGAGTGCCTGCTATCCTGGAACTGTGTTGTTGAGAGGTAAGGCTGAGAATCACTGGCTGTGCTTGGCGAAGGGAAGCCATGGAAGGTTCTGGGGTTTGCATCCAGGAACAGAGGGGCAGAAGTGGATGTTGAAAGGAATGCTGATGGCGTTGGGGCACTTAGAACAAGAATATGTGAGAGATATAAGATTGAAGCACCAGTGAAAGATGGCCATTCATTTTCTTGCATACAGTAAAGTCAATAGTAAAACAACAGATTCCCCACACCTCAGTAATATTAACACTTTAAAGTGATCCAACCTTCGATCAGCATCATTCAGCTTAGCTCTCCAATCAACGCGATTTCTATTCTTTGCAGAATTCAAGCAATATAAACAACAATGGAAACTCCCCGAGGATTTCACTAGAGCAGGATTCCAGCCTTAGCCTCCAACTCCAATTATTCTAAATGTAAACACCCAAACCATGATTAGATTCTAGCATTAACTCACTCCCAGATCTCTGTTATTCTTTATATAAACCGCTTGCTTAGATTACAGAGTCTAACCCACTCCCAGGTATCTACTGTTTTACACATAATTTTTCACTGTAATATTCTCGTAACACTGTGGTTTCAGTGGACAGACTGAAACAGTTGACTGTCAAACTGAAGAATAATATCCTCACCCCTAATGAATAAGAATTTCTGCACTGTCCCAATATTTCTGTCCCTTTGAATTGAGTACAGTCAGTTATCAGCCAGCAGCAATCATGGTGGCAACACCAGGATAAATGAGGAGTGAAAGGCAGTGAACGCAGCAAATAAAGGTTACTTTGAAGACTGATAGACAAAGATGGGCAATGTGTGCAGGCAGAATTTCAATTAATTCTATAGATAAATGCCGCAGGCTGGACAATCCATTTGTCTGAAGCACTGACAACAGATGCTGCTCCTCTGGGTCATTCATTGGACAAACAGTCAATTGCCAGCATGCTGTTACATTATAAATAACACAGGAAAGAATAACTTTAAACTACTTGCAACACATGCATTTTGAGAAGGTATTACAATTCAAACAACAGGAACGTGCTGGTAATCAAACCGCACTATTCCATGAGTCAATCCATTAGTATAAATCCAGTCATGGAGATATACAGCACAGAAATAGACCCTTCAGTCCAACTCGTCCATGCTGACAATATATCTTAAATTAATCTAGTCCCATTTGACAGCATTTAGCCCATATCCCTCTAAATCCTTCCTATCCATATAGCCATCCAGATGCCTTTTAGATGTTGTAATTGTATTAGTTTCCACCAATTCCTCTGGCAGCTCATTTCATACATGCACCACCCTCTGCGTGAAAAGGTTGCCCCTTAGGTCCCTTTTAAGTCTTTCCCCTCTCACCCTAAATCTATGGCCTCTAGTTTTGGACTCCCCCACCCCGGGGAAAAGACCTTGTCTATTTATCCTATCTATGCCCCTCATGATTTTATAAATCTCTATAAGGTTACCCCTCAGCCTCCAGGGAAAATAGCCCCAGTCTATTCAGCATCTCCCTATTGCTGAAACCCTGCAACGCTGGCAACATCCTGGTAAATCTTTTCTGAACCCTGTTTTGACTTAATCGTCAAAATAGCCAATATTTCCCTTTTGTACTGCTATCCTGCACAAAAAAAGACTTCCATCAAATTTTAAAAGGACTTCCATCAATTTTCTTTAATGAACTTAAAAATAACCAGTTTATTATAAAACAAAACTCAAAAACTCTAAAAACAAATAGAAAAACTGGTTAATGTCCAAACTACAATCCAGAATTAGAACTAGATCCCCTTTTAAATGCAAACATGTTCAAACAATGCAAAAGATGGAGACTCTGCAGGTATGATATTTTGAATAATTTTCTGATAGCTTCATACATTTACATTACTCCTAATGGCCATTTGACCCTCTGAGGGTCAAAATTGCTTGGCTATTCCCTTTCCAATTCAATGCAGCCTTTCATAGTCTTTGACTGTACATCACCAAAGCTAACTTTTTTGCATACCATGAGTAGCATTGTTAATTGTGTAATCACCCACAGAAACCTCCTCTGAAAGTGATGCATGAATCTCATGTGCTCTACCTGTCAACCTGCATTACATTGACAGTGCCCAGTTTTCATTTATCTGTTTTGCTATCTTCACAACTGAAATGAAGAATGCACCCACACCCTTTTCTTTATGTTTTGATGGGGCACATACAAAATTAAACATAGCTTAACTTGACTAGACCAAATTTTCCCTACTTGAGTCTTTCCACAACTGAAGTTTCTTTTTTTTAGCCTCCAATCTTCAAAGCCAGTGTTCCCTTTTTAATTCCTTCATTTTATTCTTTTCTCTCTCCTGAAATTCCAGTTTCAGCCTCTTAAGCTTCACTTCCCTCTGAAGCGCTCATTTTCCTTTCCTTCCCTTTGCAGCGCTTCTCTCTCAAGTTAATGTTTTTTCTTCAAAATTTCAAATTCATTCTCTGCTTTTTTGAATTCCAATTCTAAGTGCTTCGTTTTCTTTTCCTCATGCTCAAGCTGCTGTATCTGCAACTGAATTCCAACCATCGTCAATGATTATTACATGGAGAGTTTCCACCAATTCCAAATAATCTGCCAATTCCTTCATTATCTCTGACTTTCACCTTTAACTCCTTTGTCAATTCTATTATCTTAGTTTTCGTTTAATCTTGTAAATGAGTCAGGAATACCTTTTCTACCTGCCATTAAATTTTAGACATTTCAGTGCCATTCTGGTTTTATAAAATGAGAAACCTGGTATCTGTCCTCTTATTACTTAGCAATTTATTGTTTTTCAGAATCCAATTACCCATTCTTAGTACAGGGCCCCATTGTTACTTTCAGATTCAGGTTTTCTGGCAATTAAGAGAAAAGGAATCTACCTCTTACCTCCCTAAAAGCTTTGCTCGGCTGTCTTTCTAAAATCACTTGATTTTTTTGTAATTTGCAGTTGAATCACAGCCTGTATTAAGCTGTTGACCTCATTCCTTGGTTAAAACCTCGTTTAATCCAGATTGTGTGCAAATAGTTCAATTTCTACATAAAAATAGATATGTAATCCCAACAGAAGGCTCTTTTGAAATTTCCTGCTGATCCTGCACAGTCTCCCTACATTCTCACATATTACCCAGGAAATTGTTGATCGCTCACTGTCTCCAACGCTGAATCCTCATCGAGTTTAGTGGATAGTTGTATGAACATGAGGTACAGGCAGCAATGTAACTGAAGGACACCTGTGGCTTTTATATAGAGAGAGTTACAGCCTGGAGTGTAATTGCTGGATCTGGAATGATTACAGGCTGAATGTTAAGCTTATGCAGCCCCTGGATTTCCAATGCATCTTTTTGCCTGTATTACTTATGTTGTTCATGCGGACCCCCTTTCTTCAGTTGTTCTTATGAATTTGGCTCTCTTTTGTTACTCACCTCAAACTTCTGCCTCAGTTCCTCATTTCCTTCCGTATCCTCTTCAGGTGGCACTGGCACATTGTAATATTCACCTTCTTCCTGGCTCAGCAACTTGTACCTGTGCAACAGGGGATTTATATTCTTTTTTTGAATTGGCTACGCCTTGTTGGTGTGGCTACTATCCAATAATCTCAGTTTATAGTTTAAAACATTTCACGAAACGAGTAAAGTCTAATTCCTATCTCGAATATAAACAATATAGTATTAATGCTGCACTTCTTGACAGAGCCCCTCTGTCTTCGGCATCTGGGACTAAAGCATGGTTCCTCTCTACAGCAGTGAATGCTTTGTTAAACAGTCCACACTCCCCAGTATACATTGGGGAGTGGGGGGGGTTGGAGAGCTGCTGCAGAGGAGTTGGACCTAGAGTTTACTGCCAGTGTGTAGTATGGAGAAGTCAAGGTGAGAACACTGAGATAGCAACATCCAATATAATTACAAATAGATAATCAGAGATAATCTGACTGGGTTCTGGCCAGTTGTGTTGCCTCTAAAAGCTGACACCCCTGAACTGTACCCAATTGGGTGAGGTAGGAGAAGGCTCACAGTGTCCAGGGTACCAGAGCCTTGGAAAAATGCTTTACCTTTGAGGGATAAGTACAACAAATATAGAAAACCTCCCCAACTGGGGAGGGGGACATTGAATCATAAACCGTCCTTCACTGAGTCTCAGAACCTGATAGTCAACATCCCAGGACTAACACTGCCACAAACACAGCTGCATTGATCACTATATTTGTAAGTTAAATATGAATAAGTAGAGATGTAGAGAAACAAATGGTGATGAGTTACATCTGATGTAACTGAATGGCAGAGCAGCACCCTTCAAATAAAGTGAGTTTTACTGATGAGTGGGCAGCTAGGCAGTTTAAAGAAAACAAAGATGACTGTGAAGTAACCTTGTCCCTGTTTAGCTGGTTAGGGTCAAACTGTCCTTTGTTGATTTTCAATGATTTTAAGTTACCCAGACCACTAAGCATGTAACGAGAAAGCATCATTACTCTGAAGTGCTGATAATAACACCTCAAATGGAGCTTCCTAGATCCTATCACCTTCAAATCAGAGAGAAAGTAACATTACGGTGTGTACGAAGATCACTCTTTCACTTACCACCCATTGACCCCGGCTTTCTGCAGCTCTGAGATCCCGAAGGACAGGGAGCCCATAAAATCGTTCCTTGTGGTTAGATCCCAGTCCCATATTCCGATAGAAAGCCGTCGATCTTTATCAGAATCCTTTAGATTGCTGTTGGTGGGAAACAGACATGAGCAGTAAGAATTACAGGGCAAGGGAGTTATTGGAGGAATCATACAGGGATTGGAGTTACTGGCATATAGATGGCAAATAGATCAAGCATATAAAAACTAAAAGGGTGGCAAAAAAAAGAACACGGCCAATTAAGGTGATTCACACATAGTGGCAGGGTGTAGCTGAAATACTGAATGAATACTTTGCAAATATCTTCACCAAGGAAGAAGATGCTACTCGAGACATGGTGGAAGAGGATGTAATTAACATACTGAAAGGAACTAAAGTTGATGAAGGGTGGTATTTGACAGGCTGTCTATACTTCAAGTGGGTAAAGATTGGGTAAGTTGCATTCAAAGATACTGAGGGAAGTGAGAGTGAAAACTGCAGAGGCATTGGTCATAATTTCCAGTCTTCCACAGACTTAAGCACAGTGCCAGCGGAATACTAACTTGTTACATCTTTGTCCAGAAATGGATATAAAGATAAGTCCAGCAGCTACAGGCCAGTCAGGTTACTTTCAGTGGTGGGGAAACCTCAACAATAATTTGGGAAAATATTAAACAGTCACATAAACACACATGATTAATTGAAGAAAGCACAGATTTCCTAAGGGAAAATTATGTTTAGCTAACTTGTTGAAGCTTTTAGAAGAGCTAATCAAGAGGATTGATGACAGAAATGCTGTGATGCGGTGTACATGGATGCAATATCACACAACAGATATGTGAACAAAGTTATAGCTCATGGGATGAAAGGGACAATAGCAACATGAATATGAAATTGGGTTTGTGTCAGAAAACAGAAAGCTATGGTTAATAAGTGTTTTTTTTTTGCACTGGAGGAAGGTTTATTGTCAAATTTCTCAGGGGTCATTGTTGGATGTATTTGGTCTTCCTGATGTATACTAATGATCTAGACCTTGGTATAAATGGCATAATTTGTGAATGATTTGATACTTCAAAACATTCTGAACTATAAGGAAGGTATAACTTCAAAGGACATGGGCAAGTGGTTGGAAGGGGCATACAAGTGGCAGTTGAAGTTCAATGCAGAAAACTGGGAAGGGATTCCTTTTGAAAACCAAAAGAACTGCAGATGCTGTAAATCAGGAACAAAAAGGGATTCCTTTTAGTAGGAAGAAGATGGAGAGACAGTATCACATAAAGGGGTCAACTCTAAAGGGGCAGCAAGAGCAAAGGAACCTGGGTGTAAATGTTCACAAATCATAGAAGGTTTCAGGGCTGGTTGAGATTAATAATGATTAACAATGCATACTGGGAAGGTGATGGCCTAATGGTTTTATTCCTTGACTTTGAATCCAAAGACCCAGATAATGTTCTGGGGACCCAGGTTTGAATCCCACCATGGCAAATGAATGAATTAAAAAATATACGGTATCCTAGGCTTTATAAATCAGATAATTGAGTCCAGGAACAAGGAAGCTATGCTAAGTTGTACTCATCTGGAGTATTGTGCTCAGTTCTGGACATTTCACATTAGGTGAGATGTGAAGACATTAAAGAGAGTGCTGGGAAAGTGTGGTTCCCGGAATGAACAACCATAGTTACAAGCATTATTGAAGTTGGGACTATTTTCCTTGGAGAAGAGAATCTGACAGGAGATTTAATTGAGGCATTGAAATTAAGAGTTCTGAACAGGGTAGAGAACTCTACCCACTGATGGAAGAATCTGAAATGAGAGGATAAAGATTTAAAGTAATTGGCAAAAGTAGCAAAAGCGATGTGAGGAAAATCTTTTTGTCCAGCAGTGAGTGGTTAAAGTCCTGTATGCACAGCTTGGGAGCATGGTCAATGACAGCATTTTAAAGGGACTGAGATTGTTATCTGAAAAGGAAGATTGTGGAAGGTTAAGGGGAGAAGTTGGGGAAATGCCGCTCAGTGAGATGCTCACTTGGAAAGTCAGTGCAGACATGAGGAACCAAATGGGTTTCCTTTTGCATTGTAACAATTCTGTTATTCTGTGACATGGACCATGAGCACAGAACTAGAGCAACACAGTTTGTCGTGAATAAGCCTCCCACAAGACCACATTCGTCAAAAACAGGTAGAAGGCACATTCTCAACAAAAGCATTTGAAAAGCATTTTTTAAAAATTAAGCTCGGAAGTGGGCATAGCTGGCAATACTGGCATTTACCAACTACTCCTAGGTGCCCTTTCAGAAGGTGGTGATTGGTGCTGTGATAGGATGTAAATGTGCTTTAAAGGGATGATTCGTAAACAGTTGTCAATCAGTACAACTCAACACAGGATGCGATGTATTATTGCCATGGTTTTGAATTCAGAATTTAGCAATAGCCATTGAGATCAGTCACATGTATGTAGTCTCTGGGTAAACTGTATGTATATACATCTTCAAATGCACACTACATATCTTCAAACTTACCTTCAATTAAAGAATCCACATTATTGTTTTAACAATTCCAGTAATTACTTTAAATGGAAGAATATAAGTTACCCTCCTCCCCACATTCTACAGTCCATGTGGTTAAAGTGTTCCCACAGGGTTGTGAGGGAGGAGGCTTCGAGATTTCAACCAGCAATGATGAAGGAACCACTAATATGTCACCAAGACAGGCTGGTGCAGCCCCTTCAAGGTGTCAGAGGATGGAGTTTAGGGATGACCTGCCAAAGATACTTTGGTGAATTTCTGCAGTACAACGCGAAGATGGTATACAGTGAAGTTACAATGAATTGATTTGGAGGGAGGGAATGTTCTAGATGGTGCATTGGGTTGTCAATCAAATGGACTGATTCAGTTACAGCGAGTTAACTCAACCCAAAACAAAAGGAGCTAGGTAAATATCTGCCTAAGATTTGGGCTAAAGTTTATAAAAGTGAAGATAGAAGCAGTCAGTCAGAGCCAACACCATAAACATGATAGAACTGTGTCAGCCCTGAGGTCATGTGCTCGCTTAACAAATTCTCCAGATTTCTAGAGTTTTGGATGAAAATTTATATCCTTACAATGTGAAAGTCTCATTCCAGACTGGATTCAGGGAGCATTTGATGGTCTTGGTTTTCTGCTTGCTCTCACTTTTAGGATCAGGAATCAGTTTCAGCTTCACGTATGGATCCGACAGACCATTGGGATCCATTGGAACCAGGTTCCTAGCCTCCTTCACTGTTTAAAAACATAATTCAAAGAAGAAGCAAATGACTTCAAACAAGAGACAATTTGTAACTATACACTATCAGTACGGTGGATATTTTTTATTTCAATAAACATTAACTTCTCACATCAATTTGAAATATTTCCTCTATCATTCACTGACAACAAACAATCAGAGAGCCAATGCACAGGAGGTTACATTCAGCACTTCGTTCAGCTCTAGAGACTACATTTCTAACTTCTTTTTATAATTATTCTGTTATATTATTTGCAATGTCAACAGGGAAATATAGGGTGACATTTAAATACTTGAGTAGGGAATGTTTGATGGGACAGTTTCAAATAAGTTTTAATCTGTATCTAATCTGTCTTGTACTTGCCAAGGACAGTTTGTAGGACAGTTAGATGGAATTGTGTTCTGTACCTAATCTGTACCGACATGGTAATGTTTGACGCTCAGGATTTGAGTTTTGGATTATTGTTTTACTGTTGCTGTTAAGAAACATCAAGGAGAAGGCCTTAGGTAGTTGAAATGTAAAGTGTTCTTAGCCCTAGTAGCAACATCGCTTATTTTAATGAGTACAATAAAAACCACTAAAATAAATACCGAGAGTCTGTGATTAAATATTTTGCAGAATTTAAATAGATACGTGATTCCTTGGTTTGATAAAGAACTACTTGAGACACTTCTTTCCCATTTTGTTCCAAAACACTTCTCCAAATTAAAATTCGAAAGGAACACACATTGAAAAAGAAACCAATTTAGTACTGAGGTAAAAGGGTCCTCATATATAAACCACCAAAGAAGTGGAATGGAATTATGAGTGAGGAGGCGGAACTAAAATGCAGACAGACAGAGTAAAATCTTGTGACAGTCACACATGAACTCGACTCAAGCACATCTCCACTTTCAGGTACTGTGCCCTTCAGCAAAAATCTAGAACGTTTGGACAGCAATTCATCACATCTCTCGGGAGTAATCAACATATCTCTCATTCAGCAAATCAAATGTACAGCAACTGTCAGGGAGACAGTGGTGTAGTGGTATAGCCAACAGGTCAGTAACTATAGACCCAGCTAATGCTCTGGGGACATAGATTCTAATCCTATCATGGCAGATGGTGACTGTTGAATCCAATTAATAAATCTGCAATTAGAAGCTTGTTGATCGTCATAAAATCTGACTTGGCTTACTAATGTTGTACATATGACTCCAGGTCCACAGCAATGTGGTTGAAATGTCCTTGGAAATGTATCTAACTGCTACAACAGCTGATAAAAGGAATGAAACTGGATGGACCACCCATCATCGCCCACAACATATAGCCCTGTCGACTCTGCAAAGTCCTCCTTTCTAACATGTTGGGGCTTGTGCCACATTTAGCATAGCTGTCCTGCAGACTTGTTAAGCAATAACCTGATATTGTCTGTAAGGTATGAGTCAGCTGAAATAGCTATGTTTCACACACCACTGTTACCATCCGTGGGTCTGTCCTATTGATGGTAGTGGCACAGTGGTTTACAATTAGAAAGTAATTGTGCTGGGTATCTTCAACATTGACTGCAGACCCCATGTCTCTTGGCATCAAGGTAAACATGCACAAGGATATTTCCTCCTGATTACCATCTACCACTGCACCACTGATCAATCAGTTCCCCTCCGTGCTGAACACCACTTGAATGATGCACGGAGGTTGATAAGGGCAAAAGTATGCTGTGGGTGGGGCACTTAAATGTTTGTCATTCAGAGGGGCTGGTCAGGTCCTAAAGGGTGTGGCTGTTAGACTGGGTCTGTGGAAGGTGGTGAGGGAACTAATAAGTGGAGAAAGCTTCTATGACCTCACCCTCACCAATTTACTTGTAGCGTCTGCCATGACAGTATGACTGACCATCATGTAGTCTCGGTGGTAGCTATGCCCTGTCTTCCCATTGAGGATATTCTCCCTTGGGTTGTGGTATACTGACATGCCAGGGGGTTAATCCCGTCTGCAGGAGCGCATGCCAGGAGATGCAATAGGCACAACTAAAAATGAGCTGTCAACCTGGAGATGCTACAGCACTGGATTACTTGCATGCTGAGCAGTGTAAGCAGCTTGCAATCCCTCAACCAACAGACCATATCGAAGCTCTGCAGCCCAACCACAGTCATGAATGGTGGCAAACGATGAAATAACTCACTAGAGGAAGAGGTAGGTTCACAAAGACCTCCATTCTCAATGATGGGGGTGCCAGCATCTCAGCTCATTCAGTTTGACTCACTACATCTGCACTTAAGCAAAAGCTGAAGACCCTGGATATTGCAAAAACAGTGGGTCCTGACAACATTCTGGTGATATGAGTAAAGACCGAAGGCTCCAGAGCCAGATGCACTTATAGCCAAGCCATTCCACTTGAGTTCCAACACTGGTCTCCACCTTGAAATGTGGAAAGTTTCCCAGCCCTGGCTTGTCCACAAAATGCAGGAAAAATTCCACCTGACCAACTACCAACCCAACAGTCTCTTCTCAGTGAAAATCTCCAAT